GTAAAGTAAAATGAATCTTTTATGTTCGTCCTAATTCTACTAAGTTGGCAATTTATTAAGAGTTTTTTTTTTTTTTTTTTTTTGTTATCATAAATAATTAATGTGTTATAAACGATTAATATGTAGAAATTATCATAATTTGATAAATTTATTGCATTAATTTGATAATAGATTAATAACTTCGATCAGAAATTTTGATAAATTATCACATTAATATTATGATAAAATTATCAAAATTTGGGATTTATTATAGATATATTACAGTATAATAGCAATTTTAAATTTGGGGATTTATTATAGATATATTACGATATAATATGTAGCAATTTTAAATTATTTTGAATTTATCATAATTATTTCTATAATTACATTTATATATGTGATAAATTCAAATTATTTTTATTAGAAAGTCCTATATAAATAATATATATATGTATTAGTAAAAGTCGAGCAATTCATAATAAAATTTAATATTTTAAAAACGGTTATTACCTTGTTATTTCTAAATTTCTAAATTTTTACTTTCAAATTCTTTTATTTCAATGGAATATACAACTTGTGAAATTATTCCTTCAATCTGTAGCAAACCTATGATTAATGTTCATGGTTATATTATAGCAAAAGATAAAAATCGAGGAGATCTCTATTATTAGTGCTGTGAGAAGCATGATACCTTAATGTGTGATGGGCATGCTAATACTATATTAATTGATAGAAAACATATTTTTAGAAAGACAAGAAAACACAATCATGGTACCGAAGCAAGTAGAGCTAGTATTAGAAAATTAACTAATCAAATAAAAGAATTAGCAAGGCAAACTATTAGTCCACTATCACAGATTATTCAATCTGTTATTGCAAATAACTCTTCAAATATTTACTCATATATTTCATTCTATGATTTACTCTGCTAAACAGTGCAACGGGTTTGACGTTTAGACCTTCCTTCTGAATCATCAAATTCATTAAATGATCTTAATATTCCTGATAATTTAAAAAAGACTTTAGATGGCTCGGATTTCTTAATTAAGGATTCTACTATTGGTGATAAAAGAATTTTGCTTTTTACTACAGTTTCAAATATCAAATATTTAAGCAATTCATTAGTTTGGCTAATGGATGGAACCTTCAATACCATACCAACTATTTTTCAACAATTATATACAATTTATGGGTTTGTTGGAGGAGATAATAATTCCAAAGTTTTACCTCTTGTATATGCCTTGATGTCTAGTAAGTCAGAGCTATGCTATAACAGATTATTTTAGGACTTAGTTGACTTCAGTGAAGACCATAATATTCATTTAGAGCCAGAATTCGTTTTGACAGATTTTGAACTCACTGCTATAAATACATTCAAAACAGATATTATTTATTGAGCTTACTGATTTTTATTCGAATAATATTCAATTAGCAAATATAGTATTTTACAAATTACAACCTGGTGCAAAAAAAAAACTATATTTTTTTTATAGTAGGCCTTAGAAATTATGACTTTTGGTTTCTAATCAAATAAGTTGAGGAATATTTACATAGCAACTGTTAACGTTAATATCACTATCGCTATTGCTATTAATTGAAATTCTACATAAAAATTATTCGAATAAATTTTTTATTCGAATAAAATTTGTCTTTCGAATTTATTCATTAGATAACTCTTTATTATAAATATGAAAACTCTAAATATATATACAGTAATTAATATTATTATTATACGTACACATATTAATCTAATATATATATGCATACCTGTATAAGCATGAAATAATCCCAGAGATATAATTTTGAATTTTAGTCTAGGTTTAATTTGGACTATTATTTAAAACAACATCTTGGATATTATTTTGTGCTTATATGACATACATATTTTATATTTAGAATTTTCTGATACGCAAAGCAAGGGGTGTTTCTTTCATTTGTCTCAGAATATATACAGAAAAGTTCAAGCTGCTCATCTAACTACTCGATATGGGACTGATGAAGATTTTAGCATAAAAATTTGCCAAATTCCTGCACTTGCTTTTCTTCCTCCAGGTGAAATCCCTAATACATTTGATGAGCTAAAAGGTCATATTCCAGAAGAAGTGAATCCAATTATCAGGTGGTTTGAAGAGACCTATATTCACCGCCAAGTAAGACGAGTATCCAGAAATGGAAATATAACCTGAAAAGATCCATTATTTCTACCTTCTTTTTGGTCAGTTTATGAAAATAATGAATATGATTTTTCTAGAACAAATAATTCTGTTGAGGCCTAGCACAGAAGGTGAGAAACTCTAATTAGTTCAAGTAATTTGAATATTTTTAAATTTATAAAAGAGATTCAAAAAGAGCAAAATTGAGTTCAACTTGATATTGCAGCTATTTCGCAAGAAGCACCAAGGCCTTCTCAAAAAAGACAAAATGATAGATATGAATTACAAATTAAAACAGTCTTAGATAATCGTGAAAATAGACTATTAATGGACTTTCTTGAAGGAATCACACACAATCTTTCATTATAGATTACATATTTAATTTTATTAGCTCCTATTATATATTTAATATTGTAAGTATATATTTATTTGTATGTATCGGTATGTAATACATACATATATACTAAGTACTAATTTGTCATGTACAGATCATAATATATATAAAATTTGAAATATAAAGTCAAATGATCGATACACCTATTGCTGGAATGCTGTAAAACAGGTTATTTATTATTATTTATTAATTGAGGTAGGACTATTCCAAGTGCTCTGGTTTTGTAGATCATTATATGATTACTTGGATTTTTTGTTTTTTATGCTTTTACAATACTTTTTTAAAAGCTTATCTCTTCTGTAAACTCAGTCAAGTGTACTAAGCTTGAAGTTTTCATACGATATTATAATAATTTTAGTTAATTATTCTAAATTGACCTTCATATTACAATTTATTTGTTTGAAGTTGAAAAAGACGAACATAAAAGATTCATTTACTTTACGATACAAAAAAAAAAAACAGTTGGAATGGCAAATGCTAGTAGAACATATAAACTTGGAAATTGCTAGCTTGATGGAATTGAAGTTGAAAAGGACGAACATAAAAGATTCATTTACTTTACGATACAAAAAAAAAAAAAAATAGTTGGAATGGCAAATGCTAGTGGAACATATAAACTTGGAAATTGCTAGCTTGAGAATTGAAGTTG